CCCCCCCCCCACGCAGCGGGCTCCGCAGTGGTCTGCTCCAGTTGCTGCGTGTGGATTCGGGTTCCAGACTGAAGGCTACCTGTTCTCCAGTGTCCTCTGCCGTCCCACCTCCGCCTCTGACCTCGTGTCCATGGCTCCCCCCACAGCTGGCTCCTCAGTGGTCTGCTCCAGTTCCAGATTGAAACGTGCTTATTCCAGGTGCTTATTGTGACCCCAACAGGGTTACTGTGGCAACCACCAGAACAGCCTTGGCGCTGTGTAGGAGCTCAGAGCTACTCCTCAGCCCTGGCTGGGGCTGCTCATGGAGAAGCTACACAGGATTGTGGCAGCACTGCTGGAATGTATGATATCCAGTTCTAATGGTTTTCCATGGGAATTAGTGATATGGGCGGGTGTTATTGGATTTTGTGCTATTCCCCTTTTTTTGAGGAGAAGTTTTAGATCAGTTAGGAGTCAGCTATATGTGGGAAGAGAGAAAAAGCTTGCTGTAGAGCTTTGTGAACGAATTCAGGAAAAATGTAAACTGCTTGAGAAAATTAGTTTTGTACAAAAAAGCTATGAAGGCTACGAAAGAGAGTCATATTTAAAGGATGTCAGCGTTGACAAGGGGGCAGCAGAAGTACAACGTTTGGAGGCAGCCTGTGAAAAGCTGAGCAGGTCCATTTCTGAAATGGAGGAGGAAATAGTGTATCTAAAAAAAGAGTTAAAAGAAGAGAAATACGAACATTCTAGACAACATCAGTTGATGGTGGATATTTCAGAAATGAGACAGTCTCTAGAAGATCTGTCAAAATCCCTCAAATCACAAATAGCTGAAGCCAAAATGTCCTTAAAGATGTTTCAAATGAATGCAGAACAACTGAAGATGATGATAAAAGATGCTTTGGATGAAAATTCTCAACTTCAGGAAAGTCAGAAACATCTTTTGCAAGAAGCTGAAGTATGGAAAGAACAAGTGAGTGAACGGACTAAACAGAAAATAATATTTGAAGACTCCAAAGTACACACAGAACAAGTTCTAAATGACAAAGATGAGCACAGCGAGACTCTGACTAAACACTTGCTGAAGAAGAAAGATTGGGCTGCTATGCTTGGAGAAGACAATATGGATGATCACAACTTCAAAGTAGAAATGAACAGTGAATCAGAAAATGGCGCTGACTTAATTGAGCCTCCAAAAGGAGCTTTGAAGAAACTGATTCATGCTGCAAAGTTAAATGCTTCTTTAAAAATTTTAGGAGAAAGAAACCAAATTGATAATCAGTTGTCCAAAATTGAAAAAAAAAAAAAAAAAAGGAGCTTATGGGGCATATTAAACATCTTCAGTCTGCACAAGCATCTTTGCAGTCAGAAAACATACATTTTGAATGTGAGAATCAGGAACTTCAACAGAAACTTGAAGTAATGACTGAACTACATCAAGAAACTACAATGAGACTTGACAAAACATTAACTGTAGAGGAAAATTACCAGGTAGAGAGACAAGAGAAACTTTCTAAACAAGACAAAAAGATCAACTATACCAGTGACCAGCTGGAGAAGTACAGAAAGCAAGCCAAACATCTTGAACAAGGGTTGGAAAGAAGGATTCTTTCTTATCAAGAGCAGATATTACTCAGTAAAAAGAAAGCACATGACAATTGGTTGGCAACTCGGATGGCTGAAATCAATCTCAATGGCTTAAGGAAAGAAAATGCTAAGTACAGACACAAATTAACTGACACAGAGATTAAAGTCAAAATTTTATACAAAGATCCTTTGGTAGTTGATGTTCCAAACACAGGATTTGGCAGAGAGCATTACACATACATAACCGATATGAGAAGAGGAACTCCTTTCCCCCCACCTCCTCCAGGAACCCTGTTTGGAGTTTCTCCACATGATATTCCACCAGGCAATTTCCCAGGTCCACCACATGCTCATTTGCAGTGAGGAATGCCTATCCACCCAGAGGTTTTCCTCCTTATCTTCCACCAAGACCTGGATTTTTTCCCCCAACCCCCAAATATTGAAGATAAAAGCGAGTTCCTTTCAGGGCTGATTCCATTTTCTAATGACCCTGCTACTGAACAAAAATAATTCTGACTGATCTCGAGTTCCCTTCAAGAAGCTTCTGTCTTCTGACAAGCCTGCTACTGAACGTCCAAAACAACAGCAAGACAGCCAGCGGTCCTTGTGTTCTCCTCCAAACTAGTTGTTACTGACCTTGAGTCTCTATCAAGATTGATTCCAACTTAGAGTGAGCCTGCCACTGAACATCTGGCATGACAACAAGAAAGTGGGCTGTCTTTGTGTTCTCCCAAGTAGTTGTGGCTGATATCCAGTCCTCGTCAGGGTTGATTCTGTTTTCAAGTGAGCCTCCCACTGAACATTCGGTACCAAAACACTAACATTGGTGGTCTTGGTGTTCTCCTCGCAAGTACTTGTGACTGATCTCAAGTCCCTGTCATGGTTGACTCTTCCTTTAAGTGAACCTGTCACTGAACATCCGGCACCACAGCAATGAAGCTGGTGGTCTTTGTATTCTCCTCCCATGTAGTTGTGACTGATCTCGAGTGTCCACAGGGTTCATTCCACATTCAAATGAGCCTGCCACTGAACATCTGGCACCAGTGAAAGAAAGTGGACAGTCTTTCTGTTCTCCTCCCAAGTAGTTGTGACTGATTTCGAGTCCCCGTGAGCGTTGACTCCACCTTCAAGCAAGCCTGCCACTGAACATCTGGCACCACAGAATGAAAGCTGGCGGTCTTTGTGTTCTCCTTCCAAGTAGTTGTGACTGATCTTGAGTCCCTGTCAGGGTTGACTCTGCCTTCAAGTGAGCCTGCCACTGAACATCCGTACCACAGCAATAAAGTTGGCAGTCTTGGTGTTCTCCTCCTAAGTACTTGTGACTGATCTCGAGTCCCTGTCATGGTTGACTAGGCATCAAGTGAGCCTGCCGCTGAACATCCGGCACCACAGCAGAAAAGCTGGTGGTCTTTGAGTTCTCCTCCCAAGTACTTCTGACAGATTTCGAGTCCCCATCAGGGTTCACTTTGCTTTCAAGTGAGCCTGCCACTGAATGAACATCCGACACTACAACAAGAAAGCTGGCAGTATTTATATTCTCCTCCCAAGTATTTGTTACTGATCTCGAGTCCCAGTCAGGGTTGACTCTACCTTCAAGTGAGCCTGCCACTGAACATCCGGCACCACACCAAGAAAGCTGGTGGTCTTTGTGCTCTCCCCCCAAGTACTTCTGACTGATCTGGAGTCTCTGTCAGGGTTGATTCTACCTGCAAGTGAGCCTGCCACTGAACATCTGACACCATTGCAAGAAAGCTGGCAGTCTTGGTGTTCTCCCAAGTAGTGTGACTAATCTTGTGACCCCGTCAGTTTGACACCACCTTAAAGTGAGCCTGCCACTGAACATCAGGCACCACTGTAGGACAGCTGGCAGACTTTGTGTTTTCATCCACGAACTTCTGACTGATCTCGTGTCCCCATCTGGGTTGACACCATCTTCAAGTGAACCTGCCACTGAACAGCCAGCATGACAGCAAGAAAGCTGGCAGTCTCTGTGTTGTCTTCCCAAGTACTTGTGACTGATCTGGAATCCCCATCAGGGTTAACTCCACCTTCAATTTGCCTGCCACTGAACATCTGGGAGCACAACAAGAAAGCTGCAGTCTTTGCATTGTCCTCACAAGTAGTTGTGACTGATCTTGATTCGAGTTGTGAACTCGAGTTTCCGTCAGGGTTCACTTTGCCTTCAAGTGAGCCTGCCACTCAACATCCAGCACCACAGCAAGAAAGCTGGCCATCTTTGTGTTCTCCTCACAAGTAGTTTTGACTGATCGCTAGTCCCCATCAGTGTTGACTCCGACTTCAATAGAGCCTGCCACTTAATGAACTTCTGACACCACAACAGGAAAGCTGGTAGTCTTTATGATCTCCTCCCACATAGTTGTGACTGATCTTGTGGGCAGGTCAGGGTTGACTCCACCTTCAACTGAGCCTGTCACTGATCATTTGGCACCACAGCAAGAAAGCTGGCAGTCTTTGTTGCCTTCTCCCAAGTAGTTGTGACTGATCTTGAGTCCCCATCAGGGTTGACTCCACCTTCAAGTGAGCCAACCACTGAACATCAGGCACCACAGCAAAAAAGCGGGCGGTCTTTGTGTTCTCCTCCCAAGCAGTTGTGACTGATCTCGAGTCTCCGTCAGGATTGACTCTGACTTAAAGTCAGGTTGCCACTGAACATCTGGCACCACAGGAAGAAAGCTGGCAGTCTTCGTTCTCCTCCCAAGTAGTTGTGACTGATCTCGAGTCCCCGTCAGGGTTGGCTCAGCCTTCAAGTGAGCTTGCCACTGAATGAACATATGACACCACAGCAAGAAAGCTGGCAGTCTTTATATTCTCCTCCCAAGTACTTGTGACTGATCTCGAGTCCCCATCAGGAATGACTCTGCCTTAAAATCAGCCTGCCACTGAACATTTGGCACCACAGCAAGAAAGCTGGTAGTCTTTGTGTTCTTCTCCCAAATACGTGTTACTGATCATGAGTCCCCTTCATGGTTGACTCTGCCTTCAAGTTAGCCTGCTGCTGAATGAATATCAGACACCACAGCAAGAAAGCTGGCAGTCTTTATATTCTCCTCCCAAATAATTGTGACTGATCTTGAGTCCCTGGCAGGGTTGACTCTGCCTTCAAGTGAGCCTACCACTGAACATTCGACACCACAGCTAGAAAGCTGTGGTCTTTGTGTTCTCCTCCCAAGTAATTGTGACTGATCTCTAGTCCCCGTCAGGGTTGACTCCACCTTCAAGTGAGCCTGCCACTGAACATCTGGCACCACTGCAAGAAATCTGGACGTCTTTGTGTTCTTCCAAGTACTTGTGACTGATCTCGAGTCCCCATTAGAGTTGACTTTGCCTTCAAGTAATCCTGCCACTGAACATCCAGCACCACGGCAAGAAAGCTGGTGGTCTTCGTGTTCTCCCCCCAAGTAGTTGTGACTGATCTCGAGTCCCCGTCAGGGTTGACTCTGTCTTTAAGTGAGCCTGCCACTGAACCTCTGTTACTACAGCAAGAAAGCTGATAGTATGTGAATGTAAATTCATCCCTAATGAGATAAATTTTTATTGATTAAAAAAATAAAAAAGACTCTTTCTCCCATTAAATTTGCTTGGCACCCTTGTCAAAAATCAACTGATATCTGGATTCTCAATTCTGGTCCATTGACCTATATGTCTATTCCATGCCAGTACATACAGTCTTCATTACTGTTGATTTGTGGTAAGGTTTGAAATCTAGAAGTGGGAGTACTCCCCTTTGCTCTTCTTTTTACAAAATGGCTTTGGTTATTCTGAATCCTTTCTACTTCCGTATGAATTTTTGAGTCAGCTTGTTGGTCCCTGGGAACAAATGCAACTTGAACTGTGATAGAAATTGAATTCAGTCTGTAGATCAACTTAGGGACTACTGCCATCTTGATTATATTAAGATTTTCAATGAATTTTAGGTATTGCCATCTTGATAATACTAAGTTCTTCCCATATTAAAGAACATGTGGTGTAGTTCCATTTATTTAGTTTCTCTTAAATTTCTTCCAATAATCTTATTGTTTTCAGAATATATCTTGTGCTTCATTTCTTGGAGTTATTACTATTATTTTGTTCTTTTTGATGCTGTTATAAATGAAATAGTTTTCTTAATTTCATTTCCAGAATGTTCATTTCTAGGGAATAAAACTACAATTACTTTTTGTATATATAGTTGTGCGTCGGAATCTATGGGGAATTGGTTCCCAAATCCCCACAGATATCAAAAGTTGTACATGCTCAAGTCCTGCAGTTGACTCTTTGGAACCCATACATACAAAACATCAGCCCTCTATCCACAGGTTTCACATCCCATGAATTCTGCATTTTTGATCTGCATTTGGATATCAAAGGCTGATTGTATTTGTTGAAAAAACTCTGTCTTTAGGTGGGTCCACACAGTTTAAACCCATATTTTTCAAAGGTCAACTGTATGTCTTATATCCTACAACCTTTTCAAGCTAGGAAACCATTAGCACTAGCAGTTTTTATTTCTCGATGGATTCTTTCAAATTTTTTTTTTTTTTTTTTTTTTGAGACAGAGTTTCGCTCTTGTTACCCAGGCTGGAGTGCAATGGCGCGATCTTGGCTCACCGCAACCTCTGCCTCCTGGGTTCAGGCAATTCTCCTGCCTCAGCCTCCTGAGTAGCTGGGATTACAGGCACACGCCACCATGCCCAGCTAATTTTTTGTAGTTTTAGTAGAGACGGGGTTTCACCGTGTTGACCAGGATGGTCTCGATCTCTTGACCTCGTGATCCACCCACCTCGGCCTCCCAAAGTGCTGGGATTACAGGCTTGAGCCACCGCGCCCGGCCCTCAAATTTTTTATATTCAAGGTCATGACTTTTTGTTCCTCCATTCCTCCATAACTGACTTTTTTTAATGTTTAGTAGACACTTTTTATATCTTTTCATTTCATTGTCATTTTTTACTATATATTTTTGAGTTGTTTTCTTAGTGGTTGCATTGGTGATTATTATTTATGTTAATATAATTCAGATTAATACCAACTTAATTGCAATCATATATAAAACTTTTTCCCTACATAGGTTCATTCCTTCTCTCTTCCTCTGTGATTTGTCATAAAAAGTATATCTTTCTATTTTTTATGCCCATCAACACATAGATTTGTAATTATTGCTTTATTTACCTATGAATTTACTTTTACTGGTGTTCTTTATTCATGTGGATTCAAGTTAGTATCTATTGTTGTTTCATTTATGCCTAAAGGAGCTACTTAACGTTTCTTGCAGGCAAGATCTGCTGGCAAGAAATCATCTCAGTTTTTATTTAATTTTTGAAAGATAATTTCACTAGGTATAGAATTCTTGGCTGAAAGGTTTTTTT